TGTGAAGCCAGCATAAGCACTTAAGTGCGGTCGTGACATCGCGCTTCTCTTTGTACCGTCTTAACAATCGTAGCGTCTGCCACAAGAGACACATTCTATTGTTATGTCTCACATATTGTACGCTACATTTCTCTCTTGATTCAAGAATCTTTTGATTCTCTTTAAATTTTAAAAGTAGCTGATTGGTCCATCTGAACTTGAGAACTAAAAAGTCCTCTTTCCCTTCCCATCCTTTTTCTTATGAGGAAGGGTTGGGAAGTGAAAGTGGACTTTCTGGATGAAAGGATGCATGGAAAGAGAAAATATTTTCTTTCTGTGCATCCTCTCCTCCGTTGATTAAAGGTAGGCAACGCATATGCAATTGCATATGTCTATGGGCAACGGTCACTTCGCTATTTCAGCGATTTCAGGTGGCCGCTCGCTCATGTATGCATAATTTCAGATTAACTAATTGATATGCGAGTTTCCATTCGAATTTACATGCATTGCAAATAAAATAAATTCTTGTAAAAATACGGGTGTAAAATAAAATACGTCCGAATTTCATTTAAAAAAAAGAAAACAGTTTCTTCACTACAGAGCATTTCTACATTTTTAATTTATCCGAATGAATGGTGTTCATTACTGGTATGTATGAAATATTCAAACGTATAAAAAAACCTGCTCTAAATGTGCAGAGTAAATTGTCCCGCGCCGACAGCGTGGCTCTTCCGAATGAAACCACAATTCAATGCGGATTAATGAAACGTTTGTCGGTGTACCGGCCAGCTTTAATTTAGCGAACTCTCACTTTAGTTGTTAGCGTTGCATATTGTTTTTTGGTACACGTTCCTTTTATTATCACGAGTAATTCAACTGAATTTGTTGAAATGAAACAAATTACTATTGTATATGTTCAAAAATTGTTATGATTTGGTAAAGTTATAATTAGATTTAAACTCTAAAATGACGACAGTTTACTATACCATGCTAATTTCCTTCCCCCTTTTCAATCCTCACAAGGCTTTTTTACGCTTTAAAAGTAGTCTGTGTCCTTTTTCGAGATCCTGACGATCTGTAAGCCAATTTATTATCAGTCCAGTAGTTTTGGAGTGAAAGCGCAACGGACAGACAGAGCATTTATAATATAAGTATTGATTCACCACTGCTTTTTGTTTCTCTAAGCAATCCGTGAAATTATTTAGTTACGAAGTATTACAGATAAACAATCTCTATCATCATCAGCTCTCTCATGTCCCCACCGAGGGGCTCGGAGCCTACCCCAAGTTAAGGGTGATTAGGCCATAGTCAATCTCTATACTATACAATATTCCAGTAAATATTCTATTTCTTATTTGGTTTAAAATTAAAATTATTTTGTTTGTGCAAATGTTGCTGTATACTTGCAATACGTTTAAATTTAAAATTGGCGGAATTTAAGAGAAGCTTAACCATTCGGCCCCCTCGTGGTTATTTAAGTATTCATGCAAAAGCTCGTTCGTTTTATATTTGAAATGGCCGAGCCCAAAGGAGGTTTCTTGACCCACTTAATATGTAAGCACAGCGGCCGAATGTTCCGCGCTTTACTCTCAGATTTTTTTTCTTATGCGAAAAACAAGGTGCAAAAGAATACAGGTCGTTTCGGATATGAATAGAGACGCTACCTTCTTACTTTGGTAACAAATTATAAATTCATTTAGTTATCTTTATTATTAAAATCTTGCTTCTTCTTACTAATGTTATAAATGCGAAAGATTGGGCTGTTGTATGGATGTTTATTACGTAACTCAAAACTCGCTAACCTTATCTGCAAACAAACCATAGATTAATATAAGTATTAGCTGTCGCTTGCGACTCTATCCGCGCGGAATTTAAAAAAACTTTATTAGTAGCCTTTATGTTCTTCCAGGTTATGGTCTATATGCATGCCAAATTTCATCAAGATTCATCGAACCGTTCCGGAGATACCTTCTAAAACCATCCATCCAAACATTCGCATTTATAATTTTAGTAATAATACGTGGGATACATTTATTTTTCATAAAAAAACACAGCTATAAATAATTACTATTTTTTTTAATTCAAAAAGGTTGAAGTCTCCAGCAACAGCTTTTGTACTATCCCCAGTTAAAACAGAATACAACAATAAGATTCGCAAATAAATGTCTTGATTTTGCAACTTAATGGTACTTAAAATGAATACAAGAGCGCTAGTTATTTCAATGGTCCCGACTTAAATTGCTTGTAAGTGGAACTAATGTTACATTTTAGTGTTATGTTTGGAATTTAGTTATACTTAAAATTCTTCGTGTTTTCTTCGTATCTAATGTTAAATATGTGACAAGATAATATTTTTTTACATTATACAGTATGTTATAAATAGTTTATTTCGTTTTATAAACTAATAAGTGTCGCCCTCGCCGAATAAAAAAAATCAAAATTAATTTAAAAGTAAACTAGTCGATGTCCGCGACTACGTCCGGTTGGAATTTTTAAAATCCTTAATTAATAGCCTATGAGTTCGTCCAGACTATGTTGTATATGTATGACAAATTTCATATAGATCCGTTCAGCTCTGGAGATACCTTCAAACAAACATACATCCATCTAAACATTCGCATTTATATTAGTAAGATTGAAAACTGAAATCTTGTTGGAATTATAGATAGTCCTCCTTCGAGAGGAAAAATGAACATACTGTTAAACAAAAAAGAAAATTATAAATCATTGTCATCGATATCTTTAAAAAAAAAACATAATACAAAACCGGGTTACCGCAGTTAATTGTTGACGATTACGTCACTACATGTCTTACGAACTTTTCCTTTCTCCAACAATAGGTGATTATGATAGTAGGTCAGGCGTATTTATAAATGTTGGCTATAAATAGTCTTGTTAGCAGTGTGGGTACTCAATTTACCTATTTGCCGCGTCCACACGGCCGGCAATGCGGCATACGATGACGTCACGTGTCAGAAGGCACATGCATAATAAATAAGCTCTCACACCTTTTAAACCATCTGGATAGGATACAAAGGAACAAATAAAACGAAAACAACTGAACAAATTGATTGAAGAAGTACCAAAGAAGTAGTTGAATTAAAATCGACAAGCTAACAGTTACAAATGTGTCTCAGATTTTAGAAAAGAACGCATTTTCTATTCCTCTAAAGTTACAGATGGCAATGGACGGAAGTTCAATCAATATTAGACAATCCGCTGCTCGTTAATCTCCTTCCACTATAATTGAGAAGATAGGATTCAACTTCATCTTTGGAAATGGATTTTAGTTTGGTTTTGTAATGAAAATTGTAATAAAATTTCGTCTAAATGTAAGTCAGGCAGACGATTTTAAACGTTACACTTACATTAATAGTTGTGTTGTTTGAAGGTTTAATTAGAACAAACGAATTTAAATGTTAACATTAAATAGTAAGATTCAAATTTCGTTGCGTTTAACGGTTTACCAGTGTAGTCACAAATGTGTTAGTTAATTCAGAATTCAGATGTTATCCCAACACGGACGTGAATTACACTCCGGTCTGATTAATTAATTAGTTACTCGATTTAATTGGACCCTTTTACCTTTTGCCATTACCTAACACTTAACGCATCAAAGACATTCAAAGAAATTATTACAAAGTCCAATTTAGAGTTACTTAAATTTTTATATTGCCTTATATTTAAAATCAAATACTAATCGCTGTTAGCACTCCATACACATTAAATTTCACTACAAAACTTCAGTTTTAATTGCTCAGATTTAACTGTACAGTTAAATCGTACTTTTGTAGGCAAAATTTTAACTGTTAAAGTACAGATCTCTATTTAGCCTCACACACGAACAATTTAACTGCACAGTTCATCTATTTAATTAAAACTAAGTTAAAAATACTAAATCAGTTCTTGCACTTTTTGATTCATTTGTTCCACCATTATGTATAAATAAACATATGTAATAATTGTGTTGTGTAACATTTCACACAATTGTAAATAAATACATATAAAATATAACGTTATATCTTCGCCTACAAAACACACTGTAAGGGATATATTTGTTTAGGACTCCATTTGGTAAAGTGTTTTCGGTTTTCCATATAGTTATGTATTAAAGTGGCGAAACTTTTATATGCTTATTTACCACAGACGATAAATAGATTTAAATATTGCAGTCAAAAAATATTTTCCTTCTTACAAAGCTTTCAAATGCATGCATTAATGGCGCAATCAATTAATGAGCTAGGCATAAAATGCAATAAATCGATGAACATAAAAATTTTGTAGCAAGATTTTATCGTTCACAATTTCCAAGGAAAATACTAAATTAATGTGTGTCATTTATTACTTTTCAAACTATAAGTAGTTCCAGTGTATTCCAAAGAATCAAATGATTTTTTTTATATCATAAGGTGGCAAACGAGCGAGCGGTTACCTGAAATCGCTGAAACAGCGAAGTGACCGTTGCCCATAGACATACGCAATTGCATTTGCGTTGCCTACCTTTAATCGACGAAGGAGAGGATGCACAGAAAGAAAAAATATTTTCGCTTTCCATGCATCCTCTCATCCGGAAAGTCCACTTCCACTTCCCATCCATTCCTTATAAGAAAAAGGGTGGGAAGGGAAAGAGTACTAAATTTGGCCTCCGGGACGCACACTCATCAGACGAAACGCGGAATTGCTTCCACTTCACGCCTGTCTTCTGTGTGGTCGTGGTATTTCACCGGGAGAGCCGGGCCAAGTCGTGCGAAGATGTTAAAGCGGGCTCTACCACTGTTAAGAACTGTTGTAATTCAAAGAGTCAATTTCAATGAAAGAAAAAAATATTACGATAACTCAATAACATCAGATTTTCGTTGATAACTACACCAGTTTCTAGTTCTTTTAGTACAGTGGACGACAAAGCTATCGGTTCTCTGTTAGTTCATATTCTAATATTTTTCTGTAGTAACTTTATTTCTACATTGTACAATGACGTCATCGTTCACACTTCATACTTCTATCATATGTTATTGTTGCAGACGTTCTGCGTTGTATCGAAGAGGTTTCGCAAGAACTACATCCATCGGTTCACGGCGACGCGTTCACTGTTCTGGTGGTCGCCGTGGTCGCCAGTACGCCGCGCCTGTGTCTACCTCTCCACTAACCAGTACTTCGATTACTTCGTCATGGCCACTATCCTGCTTAACTGTGTCTTCCTCGCCATGTCGGAAACTATCGAAGAAGCTGAGTAAGTACCAAAGCACTATAAATTCGTAGTTCGTATTTAAATAGTAATAATAGTTCGTTGAATATTCACAAATATGAGAAAGATGCACGTTCAAATTGTAAGGAGCAAAAAATGAAACTGTTTTTGATTATCGATAGATTAGCAAATAACAAATACTTTAAGCAATAAGGATCTTTATCTGTTCTGGAATACAGTTAAAAATAAACGAAACAGTAATGATACTTCATTATTATTGGCGATCGTACTAAAAGTAGTAAAAATGTTGATACCTCAGTTGAATCATGAATACAGTTATCCGAAATTATCCATTTCAGTAGTTCCCACGAGATTAAGCAAACATTTCAAAACGTTTTAATAAACATTACGGTCAATAAAACAAAGTTTGTACTCGACAATCTCATGCAAAATGAAGTCACGTTGCAGTTTTTTGCTGGGAGTATTTTGCATCTCGTCTCACAGGGGGTGGGGGGGAGTATTATAGCGAATTATACGCTGTACCGCACTAAGCCCACGCTCCAGCACTTTGGAATACTCGGGGCTTTATATTTTAAGGATGCGTTCATATTAAAATTAAACATAAAGCGCAACGAAGAAGGATAAATTTGACTGAAATAAAAATGAACAAAATACATTTTTTTTGTTAAGGCAACACGTAAGATACGTATTTTATACAAATAATTAAATCTATATATCCGTTCGTATATTTATACTCAAGAACGGCTTTACCGATATGCCTTAAAATTCGTGAGGAGGTAGCTTAGAGCCAGGATACTTTTAATTTTTTTTTTAATTTATGCCTTGAATAACTGCTGTTTATTTAGCTAACTAATATTATAAATGCAAATGTTTAGATGGATGTGATGTGGATGGGTGTTTGAAGATATCTCTAGAACGGCTGAACGGATCTCGATTAAATTTGGCATACGTATAGAAGTATAGAACATACTCTGAAAGAACACATACACTAATTAGGTTTTTTATATATCCACGCGGACGGAGTCGCGGGCGACAGCAAGTAACCAATAAAAAAGTAGTTGAATAGTAACTATTTTCTATCTAAAACAAATGCAGCTGCAATTGAAGATTGAAATCTCATTTAATCGACCTCCTTTGTATAGTATAGGAGTGGTTTGTCATGTTTCACAACAGTTTAATCTGGTAACATTTATCTTGTCACTGCGGAGTAGGGTGCAAATAAATCGAGTTACACTGCAGTTCTTGAAGTGTGAACATTATTCACAAAGTGTTGAGGAATTTACGTAGATTATTTTACATTAAGTAACAACGCACAAAAGTATACTTTTTTATTTAAAAAAACATACAACTAATTCATATGAATATTTCCGTTACACTGTAGTGATTTTAAATTGTTATATGTTAACAAATACTTAACAGTTTTAGTCAACAACAACAACTACGAAACCTTTTATAGAGTTATAATTTCACTTTTCTATTATTAGTTAGTTGTATTACTACGAAATAAGTTATAGTAAAACCTTTTTAAACCATTTTATATCTAACTTTGTAATCAAACACATACAAAACACAAACGTGTTTGTATCATCAATATTTATGTTCACACATTATTGTTCCAAAATAAATCCATAGACAAAAAATTACATTGGCGTCTAGTGATACGTGTATTGTTAGGAAGAAAATCCGACACTGTGTCTGTACCGGCGCAACACTAGCCTTATTAAAATGTCGACGTTTATGTCCCCTCACTATTCATTCTACACTTGACTTGGGTAACGAATGTGCGCCAAATCCCGCCAAAGGATTCTAACTAATAATGTCTAAAAGTTTATAATTTCTTGACATTGAATTTGACTGTACAATTACAAAAACGATTACAATAATCTTTTCTAAAATAGGTTTTAATAAAATGGAAGCATGTTATCCAAACAGCACCCGACAGCTTAAAAATAATATAACAATAACACATTGTTGGTTACTCAAAGAAATCCTGCATGAAAAGCAATAAATTGGTTTTTCTTTTCTTCTAAGTTAAATATTTACCTTATATAGTAGACAAAGCTTTATTAGAACTTTTAAAATATAAGTAATATAGCCTCAGATGTGTCGTCGGAATATATTTTAATGATATTGAAGACCACTCAATAAGCAGTGTCGTGAACGACGTCATTATGTTGATACCTCGCCTCTTGTACACAATCGCACTCGGTGACCCAGTTATGTGGATTTATAGAGGGTTACTTGACTATGGAATACTGATGTTTTCTCAGTAATTATAACATTATATAATACTAGCTGTCGCCCGCGACTCCGTCCGCGCGGGATTAAAAATAGATGTTGGCCGATTCTTACACCTACTCAATATACTCACAAAATTTCATGAGAATCGGTCAAGCCGTTTCGAAGGAGTATGGGAACAAAAATTATGACACGAGAAGTTTATATATGTAATGAGGTAATATATTAAAATAAATGAGTGATGTAACAGTACAATATTTTAATTACATTTATCTTATAATACTAGTGGTCGACCACAGCTTCGCACGTCATATTCATTTTATAAAATATAGCCTACGTTACTCTGGAATAATGTAGAATCCTAATATTAAAAGGAACTTAAAGATCGACACTGGTTATACACTTTCCTACTTTTAATAATACTACAGATGTAAAAAAGTTTTTTTTTTATTTACTATTTCTTTTACCATTCCAACTAAGCTGTAGGCTTGTGCTAGGATATGGTTTACGACAATAGTCGAATGGCGGGATTCAAACCCCCGACCTCGTGATCGGAAATCCGTACCCGTAACCATTGGGCTATTGACGCTTAGTTTAATTAATTATTTTATTATACATTCAACGACCGAGGTGAATACTTCATTTTATTTATTTTTGTAGGAGTATATGTTTCAAAGTTTCAAGTGTAAAAACTAACATTTTAGCTTCCAAAAGAAACTTAATAACAACAAGGTTACAGTTGAGCAGCTGTTCCAAGTTACAAGATTGTACATTTATGTTGCAAAGTCTGAACATGAAACCGTTTACAAATCTAAATCTTTACGATTGTACAAAGTAATTTAATACAAACAATAACAACAAATTTCAAGTAGCAACATAATTGTACAATTAAGCTTTTATTTGTATAATTCTCCAAACTCTCTCTCTCTCTCTCTCCCTAGCTTGCATCCCACAAGGTGGTGGGGTCAGCTTTCCCAATCCGTCTCTTCCACTTCGCTCTGTCCATGACATCTTCTTCTGAGACTTGGCACTCTCTGGATCTGCGAACTCCAAACTGAATTTATGTTTGATTTTCTACAGAATTTATCAACCAGTGTGTTATCAACTTTATGGATGATTCATAGCTGAAGTGTCATAAGGAAATTAACATAATTAATTAATTACAGGTACATTTTTCTGGCAATATATACGGCGGAAATGATAATCAAATGCATAGCGAAAGGATTCATTCTCAACAAGTATACGTACCTGAGGAATCCATGGAATTGGCTGGACTTCGTGGTAATCACTTCGGGGTACGCCACCATCGGGATGGAAGTCGGCAACCTGGCTGGATTGAGGACCTTCAGGGTACTAAGAGCATTGAAGACTGTTTCTATAATGCCTGGTAAAGTATCTTCTCATAAAAAGATAAAACTAAAAGATAACCTAAAAGTTATTTTAATTGAATTAATTACTATATTATGATATCACTTATAAATTATAACGTGGGTTTCTGAAACCAAAATCTTCGTTTAAAACTGCTATGTTTTATACAAAGGTTTTGTTTTTATAAACCCACGATTAATCAGATAATTAATGAATTACTTTTTACTATTAAAAATATAAATTTTCTATTAAAGTTTGCACAATATATTTTATAAGCATGATTTAAATATTCTTAAATTTTAAAATGTAAAAACGATATCCGTAAATCTAGTTTCTTATATTACAAAAGATTTCATAAAAATATTCGTGTGTGTGCATGATGTTAATATCATCTTTATGTTTGTGTGTTTATTGTATTTTGTAATTAAAAACTTACTTTTCATTTCTTTGTGGCATAAATTTTACTTATATTATCATTACAAAAACCTTCCAATTAATCGAAGTCGCGTTTCAAAAAGTAGGTTATTAAATTCCTAGGTAACCGCAATTGACAGTATGTTTATATCGTACAAGAATGCACAAATCCTAGTCAGCTAGGTACAGACCTAGAAAGCCCAAAGTATTCTAATGCGTATAAATGCTACTACTTTGTTTACAGATGGCTTTAAGAAGGAGTATAAATATAAAGATATTGTTCCCAGGTCTAAAAACAATCATCAACGCGCTGCTACACTCGTTCAAGCAGCTCGCAGAGGTCATGACCCTCACCATCTTCTGCCTTATGGTGTTCGCGTTGTTCGCTCTACAGGTCTACATGGGGGAGCTCAGGAATAAATGTGTCAAGAATCTAGTCGTTAAGCCTGGACAGAACTTTTCTGATGAACTATGGTTGCAGTAAGTATAAAAAGTTACTCACTATCTTTGATATGATAAATACATATGTTGTTTACTAATTGCTTCACTCGGAGTCTCAGAGTTAATTAAGAAATACTTTAGTATAGATTCTTGAGAGTTAAATGTACACAAAAAATCCCTAACCCATTTAAAAATTCTGAGTGTGGCAGTAAACTAGTGTGTGCCAGTAACAAAATATATATAAACTTTTTATGAAAATAACCTAATTTTTTATACAGATGGATCAGACAACCGTCTAACTGGATGGTGAATGATGAAGAAATACCAATAATATGTGGTAACTTAACCGGTGCACGACACTGTCCACCGGAGTATACGTGTCTGTGTGTGGGACCAAACCCAAACCACGGGTACACGAACTTTGACAACTTCCTATGGTCTATGCTTACCACTTTTCAACTCATCACTTTAGACTATTGGGAAAATGTGTATAATATGGTAAGTCCATTAATATAAAATGCGGCATTAACAAACAAATATTGTTCGCAGTTAAAATCAGAAAATAAAATTAATAAAATTTTGACGCTAATTTAATGTTTAACTTTTCGATAAATTCAACTTTAATCAACTAAGCTCTTATTCGTTTTAGAAGATTTTTACAATTCCTTTTTTTTCGTTGACTGTAGAGGAGCGCTGTTTATTTAATGGTCCGCTATCAAAATTCTAGATTAAATGTCGGCGGCTAATGATGGAATACATCTTTAATTGCCGAATCTTTGCGTCGTTGGATTAAATTTAATGCGGATTTGTCATAAAATGTTAGCAATATTTGAAAAATTCTAGTAAACAGAAATCGTAAAAAAATCTTAACCAAACTTACATGAATATTCAGTATATTTTACGTAAGTTATATAATTCTGCAAACTCAATTACTTTAACCATTTACCCGTTGTTTACTTAGGCAAGTTTGTTAACAAAGTACAGGTTCCTCTGTCTTACCCTTTAGAACCTCCAACAGATCCTCCCCAATGTCAACAGCTGTTCAGATATTTTCTTAAGGAATAGCTTTACAAATACATAATCGTTACTAGATAAATAAACATCGTAGTTCAATTTGATGATTAAATTTTACAATTTACTAAAACACAATCTTTACCTACTAAATTAAGAACGGAATATAGTAAATTAATTCAAATAACTGCTGTTATTTGAAATGTATTTGGTAAAAACAATGTAAATACCAAAGGCTTAGGGTTTAGGAGCCTTGGAATCAAATCATTTGAAGTAAAAACTGTTTTATAACCAAGAAATCGGTACTAGTATTATGATTGTCATCCATATTGATCTGTAAGAAGAAAATTGTAATAATTAAACATGTAAAACTAAGTTGTGATTTCAGTCAAATGCAAATAAAACGTACCCGGCTTGAATTTTAACGATGAAATGTTAAAGGATACGGCAGCATGGGCGTTAATCAAATTACGGTTAATAGGTGACTCGTAGGCTTGAAGCGTACCCGCAAAACTATGCTCGTTAAATGTCGCTTACGGAATAATTTAGACACGTTTTACTTAATTGCTGGTAACGTTTACCTCAGATGAAACTAAAGCGTCACTTCGAGCTGGTGATAACATAATATATAATACCTACCATGAAGGATACTCACAAAGAGATTCTATTAAAAAATATGGGATAATTGTTCTGACCTATCATGTAACTTCTATATCTTCATGCATATTCAACAGCAAGATATTTTACTTAAAGATATTGGCAGAATTTGGGAATTGACTTGATTCAGCATGAATTGACTATACGCCGTTAACTATCTTACTAATATTATAAATACGAATGTTTAGATGGATGGATGATTGGATGTTTGAAGGTAACTTCAAAACGGCTGAACGGTTGTCGATAAATTTGAAAAATAGAATATAGCCTGGAAGAACACATAGGCAACTAATTATTTTTTTTTATTCCGCGCGGACAGAGTCGCGGGAGACAACTCGTTATAGAATATTTTTATCCTAAAAAATATAATTATTCATTCTTACATCTAACTCTAATCGGCTACGATTTATTGTATTGCCTTTTTCTATAGCTTTAAGATGGCCTTTCTATACTAATCAGTTTCTTTTTTTAGGTGCTGTCATCTTGTGGTCCTATGTCAGTGTCTTTTTTCACTGTTGTTGTGTTCTTTGGTTCGTTCTACCTCATAAATCTGATGCTTGCTGTAGTGGCCTTGAGCTACGAAGAAGAATCACAGATTACACAAGAGGTACGATTCTTTTACACAAGGTAGAAGTAGAACTGCTTCTTCTTTAACCGAAGATATTTTCGTATACGTTAGTATACGGGACTTACACGAACCAAACTACGATCTAGGACTTGTTACGACTAGACAACAGATGTAGTTTAAAATGTCAGCATGTGAAGTGATATTTGTTTTCGACTGAAAATTATGATTTAACTATTTGAAGCTTGTTGACTTCTACATATTCTAGGAAAGAAAAAAAGATCTAAATGAACACCGAGATGACTCTACATTCAGCTTTGATCCAACGTCGCTGTCTGTGCGGACTCTGGCTAAAGAATCCAAAAAACGCATAGACGCACGGAAGGGACTTCTACTGTCTTCCTACTCCAGAAAGAGAACGAGAAGACGAAAGAGAGGGAAGAATTCTATACATCAAGTGACAGCAGTTGCGGCTGTATCAGAAAGGTGGGTAGTGTTGACATTTGTAGTTGATCCTTATATTATAAGGTTTAAAAAAATAGCAGAAGAAATCGAAGAAAAAAAAATCAAAGGAGGATATTATGGCATTTCAAATATTTGCCTTTTGTTGTTTAGACTTTATCCAAAAATTACAAAACAAAGTCAATGTTCTTTCTCAAATACAATGATTTGCTACCAACTTATTATACTGACAGAAATCCTCAAAGCTATGATGATATTAATCACAATTAAATTTTATTTTTAATCAAGAATTTAAATGTTATAAAACATGAACGATTTTAATGTAGATGCAGATTTTCTGAACAAAGGTGTGTGCTGAATGAAAATTACCTTCACCTACATCGGATTTAAAAGAGCCGGTATCAAAGTGATGAGAAATTTGCATATTAATACCGTTTTTAATGCAAGCTCAAACGTGGTGAGGGGATGCGCTAAGCACATCCATTATACGTGCTCTAATTTTTAAAAATTCAATCTAGGAATTAATGTAGAGATTGCTTTTAAATCAAAATGTTTCAAAAAACTTCTTACTTAAATTAAAGACTAAAATCAGTATATTGACGTGATAATACCTTAATGTCCATGTTTAGGTCAAGATCACGGTCTAGGTCAGTGACCCCGAGCGGGTCTCCGCCCCCGCCGCCGCCGCCACCACCTCCACCGCCGCCACACACATTGCATCCTGACAATGCATTAGGTAATCGGATAATCGGTAAAGTGCAAGATTAATCAAACCAATACGTACCAATAAGTACCACAGTCAGTCGTTTGGTATAGAATAATCACGAATACGAATGTATAGATGGATTGATGAATGGATGGATGGATGGATGTTTGTTTGAAGGTATCTACGGAGCGGCTGAACGAATTTTCATGGAATTTGGCACACATGTAGAACATAGTCTGGAAGAACACGTAGGCTACTATTATGTTTTTTTTTATTCCGTGCGGACGGATATAGCATAGCGATGCAACGACTATAATATGGAGGTCTTCGTTTTATAAGGAATTTAATCTTAGTTTTCAAGAAAAAACTTCTTCGAAGAATCGAGGAATCCAAACCAAGAAAATGTCAAAAATAAAACTTATTTTTTACATTGACCAGGTCGTGGTGCATTAAGTGTAGCTGGGCGTCAGCTAAGCGACCACAGTAACAACAGAGAGTCGTCACTTGACGACAGTGGCGTGGTGGACGACCACGACGAAGGCGAGCATACATCCGACGACCAGGCCCCGCACCCTCATCCGCGGCGGACGCTACTGTTGCCTCCACCGGTACTGCCATCCCAGCCGCCGACACCCGTACCTCAAATACCACTGATACAAGTAAGCAAATTGAGATATCCAAAGAATGGGCTAAATAATTTGTGTGTCAAGAGAGAGCGTGTGAAGAGCCCGTTATATTGAATTCTTAAATAAATTACAATTGTAATTGTAAAATAATCGCTTTTACAGGAAAGTCATATTCAAGAGACAACGCAAAGTAATCCAACAAAAATAGAAAAAAACTGTGAAAAGACAAAAAAGAAGGAAGAAAAAGGCAACGTGCAAGATAAATATCCTCTTAATCCTGATTATCTTAACCAGATTGTGGTGTTAGGTAATAAATATATATATTTTTCTTTAATTTCCAATAAGTGATGCACTCAAATTTTTTATGCATATTGTAGTAAAATGAAGGATTTTATTTATAAAATTTTGATTGCATTGCTTCAAAGAATGGGCACGCTTAGAATAAGAGTGCACAGTGAAAGACCACAACTTAAAGAATGAATGCTTTGCCGACACAAAAGCTCTTTATAACCGATTTCACTACAACTCCTAACTTCATAGAACAATATTACAATTATTTGATTAAGTAGAATAGATAAGATTTAAAATATAAATAACTGCCTAATGCATGTTCTCTTTTCTATTTTATCGAGTTTTGAAGTTCAATAATATTGAAAATTACGTTCCTCTTTAACTTCTAGCTTGTTAATTCATTTTTGGTAACGATTTTAAGTAATTAACTTATTTCATTGTAACTGATCTGTTACAGGTGAATCTTCTTAACATATTTCATGTTTCGTGTATTATTTACTATATTATGTATATATTTTTATCCATAAACTTTACTAGCATCTTTTAATCTACTCAAAATCATTACGCATAATACTTCAAAAAGCAATTGTAAATTATTAATTAAGTATTTATTTTGTATTAAAATTAATTACATATAATAAAAATTATAAAGTACATAATTAGTAGAATACTTTATTGTTTTAAATACATATTTAACAAACTGACATACACTCGATGTGATAACTTTAAAGTATTCTATTAACTTAAGCGTATTTAACTAATGTTTTGAGGGTAATAGCTATATTGGTATGTTACATAGTTGATTCACTGTAATAAAAAGGTATATTTATAATAGTGGCTGACAAAACACAATTAGTATCACAATTCTATGGAACAAACCCATAGATCACGTTTAAATAACACTATTGCAATTTCGCTTCTACCCTCATTAATATCGCCAGGGGCGGACTGGCCATACAAGCACGCGCCCGATCTCCCCCAAGCGGAAACGACGAAAATTAATGAGCTCAGTTTATTGGCAGCCACGCACAAATCTCATATGGGCAATTACGAGCAAAATTGCACTTACTTCACAGGTTAGTAAAACACTACAGATGCAAACGCTTCCGCCCCCAGTCCACCCCTGTTCCTTACGGGAAGACTGCAGGGTATACTGCAAGCGGTCGATGTACTATCTGTCTATCGCTTTAATGTCGCATATATTTAACATCCATATTAAATTTAATATTTAATTTAACTTAATTGAAACAATAATAAAAACAATAATACTTTTGTGCAATCGAAATAATCGGAATCATCCAATTAGTCAGAATTCATATGTAATTTTGTCAAAGTCAATAATTCTGTCAGACTCAAAGCCAATAGAAACAAATTGGCTTTTTGATTTCGAAAATACGGTCCTGCGTCTTTCCTATTTAGTTCCTTATCTGCTTTTGTATGCATGTTTCATTTTATTGTAAAAAATGTAAAACTAGATATAACTGCAAATTAAAGCTTGCATTCAAAAGATGTAAATTCTGCTTACAAATGCTTCTGCCATTTTCATCTTTTTCTTTATAAATTCATGTGTGTTCTATAATCTTTATTAATTCTTCAAATACTTAGTTATTATTATTTTCTTAGATGAACTCGTCGACAGAAATTGTGAGTGCTGCGTTACTTGCTGTATCGACTACGAGTCTTGGCTTCAGTTCCAGAACTGCTTGTATGGAATTGTAAAAGACCCGCTATTTGAATTATTCATCACTACTTGTATAGTTCTAAACACACTATTTCTTGCACTGGAACATCACGGTATGAGCGAAAATGTCCGACAAGCTTTAGATATAGGGAATAAGGTATTGGAAACATCACTTTTATGATATCTTAAATGAGTTGTCTTGTACTAACGTGGTTCTTTAAATTTTAGGTTTTTACCTCTATATTCACATTGGAATGTATTATGAAAGTAATGGCGATGAGTAAAGATTTTTTTTCTTGTGGATGGAATATTTTTGATTTGATAATTGTGTCGGCAAGTTTACTAGATCTTATATTTGAGCTTGTTGATGGTTTATCTGTATTAAGAGGATTGCGTTTGGTAAGTTCACTAATTAATATTATTTCTTATTTTATTATGTTGCATTAATATATTTTTTGGTATATTTCTTTACAGTTACGAGTTTTAAAATTAGCTCAATCATGGACTACGATGAAAGTGTTGTTAAGTATTATTATATCGACGATAGGTGCTCTTGGTAATTTGACGTTTGTTTTAGTAATAGTTATATACATATTTGCTGTTATCGGTATGCAGTTATTTTCTAAATCTTACACACCTGAAAAGTTTGATCCAGATCCTGTCCCTAGGTATGTAATAACAAAAGAAAACTTAACACCTTAGTACCTATTTTAAATACTTATAAATTTTACTGTATTGTGTATTTCTTTTTATTAAATTTATACGTTTTAAGGTGGAATTTCAATGATTTCTTTCATTCCTTCATGATGATATTTCGTATTCTGTGTGGTGAATGGATTGAACCTTTGTGGGACTGCATGCGAGCCGAGAGAGCGAGTGGGGCGGAGAGTTGTTTCTTCATTTTCCTTCCCGCTCTCGTTATGGGCAACTTTATGGTGCTCAATCTCTTCCTTGCCTTGCTCCTCAACAGTTTCAATAGCGAGGAGCTTAAAAACAGAAAAGAGGTAAGACGTCGTTCTATTTTTTTTTTAATTATTCGCAATTAACTTGTGAGATGTATTAAATAATTAAAATTTAATTTTAGGAAGTTGGTGAAGATTCAAAATTAGCTAAAAGTTTTGATAGAATACGTTCTATTGTAAGAAAAAAAGGTTTCCTTATATCAAGGAGTAAAGAGACTGAAAAAAAAACTAAATTAGAAGAGCTAGTTAACGAATTTATGATACAACAACGTGCCATGAAGGAGAAAAAATCATCAATACCTAGCGAACAAAGGTATTCGTCGTCGGTCCAAGAAACTATTCTATTTCCTCATGATAATATTTATAGTCACAGTTATCAAGAAGCTTTAAACAGGTACCTCCTATTTCTCGTAAATTGTTTTTTATATATGGAACTTATATCAAGGTAATCAATTGTCTTTTTAGGCCAATTTCAGTAGGATCAGACTTTGCATATCCAAATTTGTATCAAGCAGGTAATAATTTAAATCATGGCAGCCAAGAAACTTTGAAAGATGTTCGTGATTTAGCAACTGAGCACAAAATAACGAGTATAAGAGAGGATTCTAAAGAAAATTTAGATGACACCGCTTCGATAACAAACCAAGTAGTTGCTCAACGTTTGTTAAATCAATCCTCGTCTGGATACCACACGCAGCCATCGGATTCTAAGGGTACTAAGATACTAACTAGAAAGATTTGTTTGTTTAATTTTATAAGCTGAAATTAATTAAAAAGCGCCAATAGCCTAATGGTTAAGGGTACGTATTTTCGTTCACGGGGTCAGGGGTTCGAATCCCGTCATTCGACTATTGACGCAAACCATGTTAACCAAGAATAGAGCTTAATAGTCCAAGAAATATTAGTAAATCTACAAAAGTGTGCTAATATTTTAAGTAAAAAAATTGATGTCAATTTAAAACAATGCAACAAAAGGAAAGCTAAATTATTTAATTAAATTGTTGTCTATATTTAAATTCTTAGAAAATATTTACTTTGCTATCGAAAATCAAAAACGTAATAATATTATATAAAAAAATCTTACTTCAGATGAGAATGAACAATATGAAATGGCTCAAATGTCAAGCAGAACTACACCAGATAAAATAAGACGCCAGGGAAGAGAATTGCCAAATGTTCTAAGTAAAGAGACCATAAAAAAACCTGACGAAGAAGACATGAAACATCCATGGCAAACATTAGTGTCTTACGTTGACGAGTTAACAATTGGCGGAAGAAAAAACTCTAAAGGGCAATATATTGATGCAATGGGTAAATTTCCAGGCTTCGGAAAAAGAAAAGAACCAAAAGTTCCCCAGGATTGTTTTCCTCGTCAATGCTACACCGCGTATGTATGGAAATATTTCATTATAAAGTCATATAAAGATGTTTATAAATAACAAACTTTAAAACAAGTTTTTTTCTTAACAGATGTTCTTGCTGGGATGCATGCATCCAGACAAAACTAGGGCAACGTTGGATGTTTATTCGTACATTTATTTTACGTTACGTTGACACTCCGGCTTTCGAATGGTTCGTCCTAGTTCTGATTTTCGCGTCCAGTATAACTCTGTGCTTTGAAGATATCCATTTAGAAAAAAATATACCTCTAAAGAAAATACTTTATTGGACCAACCTGGGATTCTGCATGATCTTCGTGATTGAAATGTTTCTAAAATGGATAGCGTTGGGATTTTTTAGATATTTCACTAGTTTTTGGACGCTGTTGGATTTTACTATAGTTTTCGTATGTATATTTTTTTGTTTAACAAATGAAATTTGATAGAATGAATGTAAAACTGTACGTGCATATTGTTTTAGGTTTCCGTGTTCAGTTTATTAATAGAAGAAAATGAAAACCTCAAAGTGCTAAGATCTCTAAGAACTTTGCGTGCTTTAAGACCGCTTCGTGCGATATCTCGATGGCAAGGCATGAGAATAGTTGTTAACGCTTTGATGTATGCAATACCGAGTATTTTCAATGTGCTATTAGTGTGTTTAGTGTTTTGGTTAATTTTTTCCATAATGGGTGTACAGTTTTTTGGTGGAAAGTTCTTCAAATGTGTCGATGACGAAGGAGAGTTACTGCCTTTAGAGGTAAACATTTTTCATATGAATACTTATTATTCTGTCACTCAATACATAAATTTTAATATTTTCCAGGTTGTAAACGATAAATGGGAATGTTATTACAATAATTTTTCATGGATAAATTCTAAGATATCTTTTGATCACGTGGGGATTGCGTATCTAGCTCTGTTTCAAGTAGCCACATTCGAGGGTTGGATGGAAGTGATGGCTGACGCCGTCGACGCTAGAGGCGTAGACCTACAGCCAGCTAGAGAAGCAAATATTTACGCTTACATTTATTTCGTTATTTTTATCGTATGCGGTTCTTTTTTTACTTTAAACTTATTCATAGGAGTTATCATAGACAATTTCAATATGCTCAAGAAAAAGGTAACAGGAGTTTAGATAGTAATATAAATGAAATAGATGTATCTTTTAGTTTAAAATCATATTTTAAATTTCAGTATGAAGGTGGTGTTTTAGAAATGTTTCTTACTGAAAGCCAAAAACATTATTACACGGCTATGAAGAAATTGGGAAGAAAGAAGCCTCAAAAAGTAATAAAGAGGCCGAGGAACCAATTTCTGGCGATGTTCTATGACCTGTCGAATTCCCGCCGTTTCGAAATAGCAATTTTCGTGCTCATTTTTCTAAACATGCTCACAATGGGTATCGAACACTACGATCAACCACATTCAGTTTTCTTTGTATTAGAAGTTAGTAATGCTTTTTTTACGACTGTGTTTGGTTTAGGTAAGTTCACTTGAATAACAATTTTAACCAATTTATCAAAGTAAAATCCAACTGGGGTTTGTAGATTTATGGGCCATAGAGGCATGTACGATGACATATTTTAACATATAAAAAGATTACAATATTTGAATTCAACTATAAATAACTAAATATCTTATTTTTCAGAGGCAATAGTTAAAATAATTGGTCTACGATACCATTATTTTACGGTACCGTGGAACGTATTCGACTTTCTTCTAGTTTTAGCTTCTATCTTAGGCATTGTTATGGAGGACATAATGATCGATCTCCCCATATCTCCCACTTTACTGCGGGTAGTTCGCGTTTTCCGAATCGGGAGAATCTTAAGACTGATTAAAGTATGTTGTTCATTCAATCTTATTTTTGTTAAAATAAAAAACTTTATAAATAACGTGTCTTGTTTTTGTATGTTTCTAGGCCGCTAAGGGTATTAGGAAACTTCTATTCGCACTAGTAGTATCTCTGCCAGCTCTATTTAACATAGGTGCCTTGCTCGCTTTAATTACATTCATATACGCCATCATCGGCATGTCAGTGTTCGGACATGTTAAAGAGCAGGGTGCATTGGATGATATTGTCAATTTTCAAACATTTGGTAGAAGTATGCAGTTACTCTTTCGGTAAGATACTTTGATACTTTGATACTTTGATTTGTGTTATTAATTAGACAAACTGTGATAGAGCCCACTTTAACATCTTCTCACGAATTAGACGTTTCGCCCAGTGAAATACCACGACCACACAAAAGACAGGCGTGAAGTGGAAGCAATTCCGCTTTTCATCTGATGAGTGGGGTACCAGAAGCCTAATTTTAGACCTCTTTCACTAGCTACCCTTTTTCTTATAAGGAAAGGATGAGAAGTGGTAGTGAATTTGGGGATGCGTGGAAAGGGAAAATTGTTTCTTTATTTTCATCCCCTCATCCGTCGATTAAAAGTAGGCAACGCATATGCAATTGCGGATGTCTATGGGCACAGCCGCTTCGCTATTTCAGCGATTTCAGGTTGCCGCTCGCTCGTTTGCCACCTTTTACAAAATTATAATCTTATAAAAAAAGACGAGGTAAAATGACGTGTTGTTTTCCAGTCTTATGACGTCAGCAGGTTGGAATGATGTACTGGAATCGCTAATGATTCAGCCGCCTGATTGTGAGTTAGGAGACATTGGGCACAGCAACGGAAACTGTGGAAGTCCGCTTCTAGCAATAACATATTTTACATCTTTCATAATAATAAGTTACATGATTGTGATAAACATGTACATAGCGATAATTCTCGAGAACTTTAATCAGGCACATCAGGAAGAGGAGATCGGTATTGTGGAAGACGATTTGGAAATGTTTTATATTAGATGGTCTAAGTGAGTATTTCTTATCATCATCATCAGCTCACTATACGTCCCCACCGAGGAGCTCGGAGCCTACCCTAAGTTACGGGTGACTAGGTCATAGTCACCCACGCTGGCCAAGTGCGGATTGGTTGACTTCATACATATCTTTGAATTTCTTCTCAGGTTGCATCACGATGTTTATCTTCACCGTAAGAACGTCGGATAAATATACATATGTAAATCGTAAATCGCAAAACACATTCGTACATGGCGGGATTCGAACCCAGGACCTGCAAATTGCAAGTCAAGTGCTTGACCCCTGAGCCACCGACGCTCAGTATTTATTATATTTAAACGAAATTATTTTGTTTTATGTTAACTTAAATTAATGTCTAATTTTCAGATACGATCCCCATGCGACCCAATTCATAAGTTTTGCTCAATTATCAGATTTTATAGCATCTCTAGATCCACCTTTAGGCATATCCAAGCCGAATACAGTGGCATTAGTTAGTTTTAATCTTCCCATCGCGAAAGGCAACAAAATACATTGTCTGGATATTCTCCATGCGTTAGTTAAACATGTGCTAGGTCATGTAGAAGAAACGGAAACATTTAGGCAACTTCAGGAACAGATGGATATAAAGTTTAAGAAACAATTCCCGACAAGGAAGGAGTTAGAGATAGTGTCTTCCACTAGGATATGGAAACGCGAAGACAAAGCAGCGCGAACTATACAACGAACTTGGAGAGAATATGTAAAGTAAGTTACGGATATAAAAATTCATCAACATGTAATAATTTTTATGATTACAAGATTGTACTTTTTATGTAAATTTATAGGCGTAAGAACCGTAGCCCTTCAAACGAAGAGGAGAGCACGAAGTGGTCTCCCGGAGGTGGTTGGGGAGGACGTCTCAGCGCGTTACTGCATGTTAGAAGAGGATCACATGCTTCCAGTAGAAAATCTTCTAGAGCTTCTGATGCTTCGGATTTCAGCGACTTAGGTGGAGCCTGGCTGAATCTGCCGCTCCTCTTGCTACCGGGCGCGGCGCCTGGTGAACAGGTATAGTTGTTAAAAACATATATTTATAATTTTAACCACCATATCTTAATTTAAAAATATGCCATTTTCAATATTACTATTTTTATCTTAAGGTAATCTATAGGCATTTGTTAAAATTCAGAATGTATCATTTCTTATGTTTTTTAGCCGAGCGGGTCGGATGGAGCACCGCCCCGTCGAAGGTCGGCTTACGGTTTGCCTTTGTTCCTTCGTCATCAGGACGCAGTGGATGAAGACTCCGGGCCGAAACGCGCAGGTTCATATGTAATGTTTTGCTTTTTGTGTCTCTTCCTATAGTAGCTAGTCGTGTTTGCGTACCGAAGCTTTGCAATAAGTCTCATTAAATAGTCTACATGCGACTCATCTTAAATTTAAACCATTATTACTAACAATTTTAGTTCCATCGATAACATGTCTAAGTATTTCATTATTATAGAATTACTTTAGAAGTTAATCTAGTAATTCATTTTGTTAGAACATTAAACGATATTAATTTCTTTATTTGGAAAATAGAAAATGAATAAATCAAAAATCTAAAAAGAAACCGAGAACAAATCCAAGATTAAGTAATTCGACTTCTTTGAAGAGACAATTCGGATGACGATAAAAATGTCTTCAGGCTACTTAGTGGAAAGCTTCTCATGAATAAATTCATTTGTTTTGTCAACGAAAAATGTAAACGTTCAATTTACTTGGCTGTTGTTCAAATGAATTTATCTTGTCCAGAACCCGCTAGTGTCCTTAAAATTTTGTATCGACTGTATCGTCTTGTGCGTTATCTAATTTGACGTGTTTAATGTTCCAGGTTTCTGTGTTTTCTGCTTTGCATGAATGTTAATTATAACAATGAATTCGTGTTACATTTATTGTATAGCAATAATACGCATGATTCAATTAGCAGCTGTTCCAAACGTGTGCTGCATGATTTTGTTACATTTTACTATAAGCTATAGTTACTTATTCTATTAGGTAGATATATTTTGGTAAGTGATTTTTTCTGACTATGATCTAATCTGCCATATCCCAGAAAAACAAATTGAGCGCAGAGTAAAGGAGGACCGTCAACCGCCGGCTCTGTTTCTTAGTGAGTGGTCCTCGATTTTATTCTCTTTCCCTCTCTGTATCTACTTATCTCTATGCTTCTTATATTACAAACTCTTTATTTCTTTAATACTTCAAATTTTTTCTAATTGTTCTTTATTGTATTTTTTTTTTGTAATTGCAAATATTCATATTTAGGAATAATTAGGTATTTTTTTCTTCTTATTTTGTTAAAAGAAATTATTTTAGTTGTTTGAAGTTTTGTATGATGTTACACTTTACACTTTATATGTCCTAAAATTAAATGTTACGAATAAAGAAATTTACTACATTATAATATATGAAACAAACATTTCAATAGCGTTTCTTTCACATTTTAATATACGTCTACATCTGTAATGTTTTTATCTTATTCTGTACACACATCGTCTCAATAAATACTTGAAGATTTCATTAAAATAATATTTTATTGCACATTATATTAAATAAATCACAATAAAAAGTTATTAAACATATATTTAAATAAACACAATTTTCAAAAATCCTACACAATATAATATTAATTTTCATTTGCTCATATCGATGTTGCTTGTATGCAAATGCAAAGCGTTTGAATACAAATTACGTATAACTAATATTCAGACGTGTACATAGGTTCACTTCGCTTGATGTCACGTCGCAATTCTGCGAGGAGGGCGACGACCCCCGTACGAGCTCGGACCCCCTCCCCAAAGGCCAACAGCTCCGTTAGCATCCTGGTGACAGAGGCTTCCCCTGACGCAGCTCCGCCCCCAACAGCACCACCTACGGTCGTCAGAGTCCTCGTGCACCGAGAAAGTGATGAACAACCCAGCTGATCAAAAACAACCGAGTCTGATGAAAAGGCTCCCGATAGTTCAATAGTCTTAGATAATATTGAGTGAGAAGGTTTTTAAACTCGAAAATTGTGTTCACACATTCGAATACGTGATATACTGTTTTTTTTGTAACAAATAATTTGAAGTAACCTAGAATGAATTATTATAGTTCAGTAACAATAGCTGGGTATACTTTCATATTGTTTTGAAGTTTTTGTTTAAAATGTTTTATCTACTTATAAAAATTAAATACAAGATAATAAATTATTATAATATAAAATAAATAATATTTAATATATTACGTACGCGATTGTACCACGCTTCGAGTATCGTGTTAGATTTATTTCCAGCTTAGAGCTAAATTAGCGAAATTGTTCGGTTTAAAATATACGCTTGTATTTAAATTCGACATTTAAACGTTTTATATGTATAGATAGAGTTTGTTAGTTAATTACTTTGAATTGTAAATATTGTTACATAATTATAGAATTCGTAATGCAATTTTATTACGCAGATTTTAGGGCTAGTGATCCGCTAGATATAGAAACGCCAATGTTCCTTTAATTTTAATAAAGTCATTTTAGTTTTAAATTATGAAATAGATTAACAAAAATACACAGAGATATAAAGATCATTTAGAATTCATCTTTGGATATAAGGAACATGTCACATGTTCTGTTACAAATAGCTCTGGGCTAGTCGGTGTGGTAAAATTACGTGGTACTGTCGTTCATGTGGCATTTCCCATACGAATACTTTTGTGCAAAAGATGTAGATATTTAAATTTTTGGTATGGTATTAGATGCAGTAAATGCGCAAGAATAAATATGAGTCAACTGAAAAACAATTTAAAAGTTTTATAATATTAAACGTTTTAAGCTAATCATATCGCAAATAATTACAATAAACACATTCTGAATAAAAAATAATTGAATAATCTCAATATGCATTAACACGTTTGAAAACAAATGAAAGCAGATGATGTTTTTAGAAAAATAAAATAGTTGACATTGCGTTTAAAAACTGTCGAATTTGGATTAGCGAGAAATCTCTACAAACGATAGTCACGGACGGGTCTCGGCGGACGACCTTTATAAGCGACAAACTCGCGTCAACGAGGAATCTCTAAGAGAAAAATATCACCGTCCCTTTGACTCTTATGTATCCAAGTTCGACTATACATTATGACATGACAGTCAATTAAAATAAATATTATGTATTGTTGAACCGCACAAATCCGATTAATAAGTTTAAACTTTAATAAGTACATAATTAGAGTTAAAAATGTTACATCGTAAAAGACAATATTCATGTTTAGAATAATAGTAACAGTTTATGTATTGGCTTTTTGGCCAAGGCAAATATTTTAAAACTACATTAGCTTTTTAAACTTCGTAAAATAGAGGCATTTTACATTTTTTTTTAATTTATTATAATAAAAAAAAAATCCTAAATCATATATCTTTCCAGTCAACTCATAGACAACTTTTATCAACTTTATATCGAATTATTAAAAAGTTATTTCCGTCTTTACCAAAATATAATTTAAACTAGACTCGCTATAGATTATAGTTCTTTGTAAGGACCAATATTTTAAGCTCTACGAAACATCTCATAAGCACCATCACTGACATCATTACCTTTCTATATTTTTACTTTACACAGCCGAGAAATATTTAGGTCACTTTACATCACGGCAAAAGCTTGAAAATATTCACTTTTAAAAACCTTCGACATCTATTTATGTTGACACATCGCTCTTTGTACATAATACAGTTATTGCTATGTTTGTTTTTCACAATTTTAAGTAGTAAAAAGTTTATTAGATCAATTTTGAACGTTGTGATGTACAATGTACATTAGAATTATTGTAGAGAGATAACAGAGAGAGGTTCTTAAGCATGGTACATGCGTAGATTTATTAATAATACGTATTAATAATTGTAAAATATGTAAATAAGAAACTTTAAGTGAGATATGCGAAATATGATTTTCTTCTAAGGTACAAAATAAAAATTAACCATGTTGAAAATTATGATTAAAGGAAAAACACAATATTTTCTTGTTTTATTTATATTATGATAGAAAAAAACCGCACGATTACTTGATGTGTGGCCAGAAAGAAAACATCGCATTCTAAACCAATAAAGGAAGAAAAAGCATATAAGAGAAGGGGAGGATAAGAGAAAAGAGGATGACATTGACACATTACCATCCCTTACATTTTCTTAGAAAAAATAGACACAATTCAATTAACAATGAAAACACAATAAGGATAGCACTTTGAAATAAATTAGCTAATAATTTGTGTGTACATTTTCAAGTGAGCTTAAAGCTTGTGAAATTCATGACTACTCAAAATCACCTTTCCAATTTCGCGCCTAATTTTGTAAGGATTAGTGCTTTATTGTTGTACGTCTTAACTGAAATAAGTAAAAGATAAAAAGAGAAATTTCAGATTACTACCAAGCCACTCGTGAGGGTTCTCTAGTAAGTAGGGAGTATAAAAGCTATTCGAGCCAAGAACACTTGTATAGCGATGATAAATTCAAAGCCAAGTAATTAGGCAAGCGTTGTGTAAAGGGCTATTTGCTTAGGACTCTGTTTGAACATGCGTGGGTTCACTTTTGTAATACCTTCAAACTTTGTTTTTCATCAACAATACGACCTTTGCATTAAACAACCGAATTTTAAACAAAATTTCAAAAATAAAATAATTATTAAATAAAAAGTTAATAGCTTAATGTATACTTTATCAAAGCAGCTATCAAATAAATTGTTATCTGTTTTTTTTAAATGATAATATGAATAACAGTATTACAATGTCTCAGATGTGCTCTTGAATTAATAATGCAGGCAACTATAAAAACAAGAATATATAAATTAATAATAATTTACTTACCATACACATTTCCTTTTTATTAAATGTAATAAAATAGATTTTATAAAAATAAAATTATCCCGGATACAAGGATGTAGATTTAGAAAAGACAAGGAAGCTTTTGCTATCGCATTCCAACTTCCATCAAATCACAGCACGACCGGAAGCACTGCCGTCGCTTCCCTGCAAGCAAGACCTAGAAATATAATGCAAATAAATAATCACTTGGTGTATTTTATTATTCTCTTATTTGTGTCGAATGTGCTTCTGGTACTCTTCTCTGCAGTTGTTGTCTATCTATTTTTCTATCATTAATCCAAATAAAACTCTTCCCACGTCTTCCTTTCTTCAATGTGAAATAAGGAATTTTATTCTAATGTAAAATGGTTTTTATCTCTAAAAACTTCAAGAAATTTCCTTTTAATTTTTCTTTAAAATGTATTCATCGCGAAATGTTTGTGTTAGAAGTTCAAGCACGAAATCCTCATATGGCAATTGAAATGACACCCTCCAGCGTTAATACAATGTCCTCGCTTCCGAATGAATACCATTGTGACTACTAGCCGTCACCTGCGACTCTGTTCGCGCGGAATGAAATAAAAACTTAATGAGTAGACTATGATTTCTTCCAGATTATTCTACATCTGTACCGAATTTCATCAAGATCCGTTGAACGGTTCTGGAGATATGTACCTTCAAACATCCATCCATCCATCTAAATACACGCATTTATAATATTAGTTGACAGTATAAATGCGAATTAGAATTAGTTTAGCTGTCCAAAGGGGGAACGCTGCGAGTATCTTCGGAACCTTGCCTAAAGGGACTCCTTTTAACAATATATTTTAGTAAATTATTCGTTTTTTAATATTTTATTTTATATCATAGATTTAAGGCTATTCATTAGATTCTTTGTTAGTTTATTGTTAAAAATTGCATAAGATTAATAAATTTCAAGTATTGATATTCATAAACCATGTTAACACTACAAACAGGGATTTGTATTTTTGTATGTTTGTTCCAATACACCCAAAAACTACAGAACCGATTACCCAGAATGGATCTACGGATGAGAAGTGTGAGAATTACTACATAATTTTTTCCAGGTACGTTTTATTACAATACTGCAATGCATATAAATGTGGCCGTAAATAAAAATGGTAAATTTATAATTTTGCATCCAAGTTTTATGTTTCTATTTACACACTAAAATTGTAAAGAGACAGAGCAATTCATTTAAATTTCATTCTCCCAGCATATTGCGGAGAAATCTAATTTGAATTCCCTCATGTTTCAACGGACTCATTGAAAGACTAACTCACGACGACATCACAGATCTAGGCAACTTTCACGATCCACCTGAAGTAGTTAAAGTTGCACTTTATTCAATAGTTTGGAGTTGAGCCAAAAATTGAATTATACGTTCCGGAAAATATTTATATTAGTTTTTAACTGTTTTAAAACATGTTTTTTTATAAGTAATATAAGACGGACTTCAATATTTAAATTACTTTAGCTTTTGATTTCATATTTCGTTTGAAATATTGTGATTGAATTAAATAAAAATTATCATCATCATCATCACCCTAAGTTAAGGGTGAAAATAAAAAAATAATAATAAAATAAAATATTTTTATTTTAATAAAAATTATATTAAAATTAAATTTTCTGTTATTTAGATTGATGAATTTTTTGTTATATAGTTTATTTGGTATAGTATAAATTATTATATTAGCTTATGTCTTAGATAAAGAATAATAATTAAACTTACTAACTCACTATTCCACATGACGAGAATCTCGTGAAAGCTGAAAAGGAAAAAGTGTTAAAATACCTTGATTTGGCTCACGAGGTTACCGCCATGTGGCGTATGAAATCGACTACTATTATTCCGATAGTCGTATCGGTAAATGGACTGATAGCGAAGAGCTTCGACCAACATCTCAAGAAGCTCTCGCTAAACAGTTGGATTAAGGGCCCGATACAAAAGGCAGTTATCCTAGAAACCGCGCGCATCGTGAGAAGGTTCCTGTCTCTGCAGCCCTGACCACTGGTTGTTTGAGTCATGGGATTCCGCAGCCGGTGGTGTTCTCTTTTTAATATAATATGTTTTGTATATTTTTTTTATATGAAATGTATTATATTAGAAATGTATATAAATAAATGTATAAATAATAACTTACTAATATTATAAATGCGAAAGTTTGGATGGATGGATGTTTGTTACAAGGTATCTCCAGAACAGCTCGACGAATCTTGATGAAATTTGG